TTTGTTCTAAGCGCGAGGCCGAGGATCCCGTACGTACTCAGAATTTTACCAACGTGAATGCTCATCTTGATCAATGGCAGCCTACAGTTGGACCCTCGTCGACAACCTGAATAGCTTATTCAGAAGCAGCGCTGGACCGGGAACGAACCAGCTTCTTCCCAGGCAAAAGAGTGACTTGTGAGGACTCGTGGTCACACTCTGTGCATAGCGACTTTCTACTAGCCAGCCAGACTGCTGGTAAATCCCCTCGGAGCAACGACTGCCCTGCGCGCCGCAGTTAGATTACTCCGCCCGTCCTACTCCGAGCTGCACCTCGACTGGTTGGCCGGTAGCCAGAGGATGCCGGGACAACGCCCACTGGACAACCGTTGGAACAGAGGCTGCAACGGAGCCTGTCAGCTGGTTTGGTGTTCGTGCCGGGAAATTCCAAATCCATACACAGTGGATAAGTAAACCCCATGTTCTACATTGCGTCTCGAGAATTCAATTGTACCTCAACACAAGTTGTTATCAATTTAATTCATGAGTAATGTATTTACTTCCGAGTTTAGAGTAACAGTGGGTAATAACACTGATTAGCAATTTGGTAACCGAACGATATATATTGACATATATTCTCTGTTGTGTATCTCTTTGTGTTTGCATCTCTTCGAGATTATATACCTTGTATATTGATAACCCTCACAGTAAGGTCTGCCGCTTGTATCCAGGCAGACTAGTATATGTTGGTGCACAATTTATATTAATAAATGTATCTTGTGTATTGAACCCGTGTGTGTGCGTTGTTAGTTGTTCTGATGATTGATTTTCTAAAAGCCACAACGAACAACCTCGTGATTACTGCTACAATTAATAATTGTCTCAGTAAACCTATCAAACCTCTACAACAGACAGAAGCTGTCTTGGATAAAATGCAGATTACCTTCATGATTAAAGTTTGTTGCTTTGCTACTAAAATACAATAAGGGTTCTTTTAAAAAAAGTGTTTTAACTTTTTTGGTTATACATTTTGTAAAACAATCTTGGATTATTTACCTCAATGGGGTATCAACATTCTTTACAAAAAGTGTACTGCATGCTGATATAATAATATTAAGAATGTATTTTTGAACTATGGAGAATTCAGAATTAGATTTTCAGTGATAAACTAAATCTCAAAAGGTTGTGAGAGTATGGAAGCCTGACACCTTGACTTCTAACAAAGTAACATGATCTTTAGCAGCACAGGGAATGCTACACTTGTTACATACTGTAATTCAAAAATGCTTTTTTTCACCTAACTGTTAAAATGCAGTAATTTTGTCTTTAGAGAACAAAGTTAAGAGATTGTGTGCCAATTTCTACATTTAGAGGCATGTACTGTACATTACATGTATTCAGAGAAATTTACAAATGCACGTCTGAAAAAAGTAAAGGTATCAAAGATTTAAAAAAAACACACATCCCATAATAAGGGTAATGTATAACTAGCAAATAACTATGGAGACAGGTGTTCTCTCACCCATGTACATTATGATTTAGGTTAGAGGAAATGAATTGGAAGGCAGATTGTTGACTTTCTTAACAGTTGTCTTAACATTGCTTATAGGTTTGTCTTTGACTGGAGAGTCAACAGACACTGTCATAGGGCAACTATAAGTAAACAAATAATACATAACAATCTTTGTCAGTTATCTATATTGCAAACTGCAAAGGCACAAGAGTTTAAATTAAAAAAATAGACATAAATCCATACAAATAAAAAAATGCTACTTTACTTATATAATTGGACAAAAACATGCATGACATACAACTTACTGTACAACAATACAGCAGGGAGGGGGTTAATGAGGTAAGAAATTTTAAATTGATAGATATTTACCTTTTGACAATTGATACTGCACACACATTTAATCTCTGTTGGACAGAGGGTATTAATTATGTGTAACAGCAAACCTTAAGTCACTTTTTCAAACTTCAGTTTCAATTCAGTGGGGGTAAGAGGTCACACTTCAGCAAAATTAGGCTCTAATGTGATTATTATATTAAATGCAAAATATTTAAATGTTCTGTGCACTAGTGGGAGAATGCTGCCAAGCGAAATATTAATCTGCCACTCAAGAGCTGCTAACCTTATAGCATCTGGATTGAACTACTGTGTGTCATGCAATCAGTTTTGAGAAAAATAACTCTGAATTGCTTTTTTGCAGGGAACATTACACCTCTTAAATGGTATGACACATGATACCAGATAGATATGTCTGATGTAAGAAAACCACAATATTTATTTATTCTACTGACCAGTTAATGATTTGAAACACAGCAATTTATCTTAAAAGCAAAAAGATAACCAGAACTTAAATGCCAAATTTTATATTGCAATCTAGGGTTTTCAAATCTAATTTTAAAATCTGTTGCTATTTTCCAGTTCACCATCTAAAAGAAATAAATCATTCTGTAGATGTGTGGAGTTACACATATTCAATTAAATAGATACCACTGAAATATCTGGGTAATTTAAAAAAATTGACATACATTATTTCTTTCTATTCTGTATGATGCGTGTATCTGTACAAAATGCAATAAGCTATATTTGTATTGGAGGAACTGATATTCTGCTGTGTGGCTTTGATCCAAAATGTTTTACTTTCTGTGATTTCTAAGATACAAATTGGGTGGGTGAATAATCTAGACACACAGTGCTCAGTGTTCACACTGTTGTCGCACACTAAATCTGGTTTAGTGTTATATGCATAACAAAGCAACTATTAATGAAGTACATTATGTTGTCGGACTCTGGAACATTTTCTTTTTTGCTAAAGAGACCAAACAGAGTTTTTTTTCACCATAGTGCTTTTTAATCAAAGCTAGCCAAGTGTAGGAATCATTAAGAAATTAGGATTCCCAGTACTCCAAAACCCCTACAGCTATGGCCCAGCACCCAATCACCATTATTTGTTTTATGTTACAAAGCAGCTCTAAGGACCTAAGTTGTTAAATGATGATGAGGTAAAGGTTACTGTTAATGATTGGTTTAGGGACCACGAGAGGCAACTTTTATTCAAAGAAAGTCCCCTTTTATTAAACTGCATATGATGTGATGAGATAAAGAGAGGTTGTATATAAAAGACAGTCACAAATACTCTCTCTCATTTGCAATATGCTGAAGTCCTTGAACATATTTTTCTGAAGTCATTTCAGAAGTAGACTTCATTAAAGTTTAATTATGCTAATTTTCTCAATTTTTTCATCCAAAACCCATCTGATCTCTATCAGGGAGACTTTCAAGAGCCACATCTGGAGGTGAACAATGGGGATTGCATATGGTTCACCCAAGCACCCTGTGAAGCTATTTAACTAGTACAGTATAAACTAGGCAACAGAGCAGGTAATAGTTAACTGGAATAAAATCAATGCTCTTATAAAATATAACACTTAAGAAAGGTATTTGTTATGAAATACAAACAAGTATTCTCCATTTTATTCCGATATTTATAAACAATTATATTACAAAAATGATCAATGACAATAAAAACAATTAATACAAATTGTATTTAATCACTACAGGTCTTCCCCAGGAAATTATTAATATTCAGATCTTGACAACGTTCAAACATTTTATCTGTTGAGTGTTTTATAATAAAAGTTAAATATGTAAGTGTGTTGTGCTGAAGCTTTGTTTTTTTATAATCAGAAAAGGAAAAAAAACATCACTATTTAATTCAAAGGTACAAGCTAGGAAATGTTTGAAGATTCAATACTAAACTTTTTCTCTTTACAACACTTTTAACTATATTAGTAAAGTTGATTTTACATATGCTTTTGTCATGAAAATAACTCCAGATTTCACAACAATATTTACCATGTACTACAAATACATCACTCAAGTGACAATAAAACATAACAACATTATACGGTACTTTTCCCTTTGAGAAGCCTAAATCATTACTGCTTACAGCTGAATATGTAGTGTTTTCTATGTCTGCAAAAGCCATCTATTGTCATCAATATTTTATGCACCACTTACAGTATAAGCAAGTATAGTAGTAGCTTTCTTGCCTTCACAGCAATGTCACTATCATTACTTTTATAGGATACATCTTATACCATCTACTCTGTCACTTATACCATCACATACAGTATACATTGAAGCATATTCCATCACATATACCATTTCAACTAACCACCATGCCAGTAAACCATATTTACAAATCTGAAAAACACACAAAGAGATAGTAAGAGCCTTAGAGATAGATGATAGATAGATACTTTATTGATCCCGTGAGGGAAATCACAACCATATTAAAACTGTTGAATGTTAGTCCATTATAATTATACTTTAAAGTCAGATAACAAAAGAGTTTTAACTTTAGAATCTCTAAAGTTAATCTCGGTGTCACAATTTCAATATCTTCATGCCAGTGTATAAAAATATGCACCATAACTGCAAATGTCTACAAAAACAAGTGCTGACTATTGTTTTACTGTTCTCTATACTGATTATCCTGTGTGTTTGATGTGACTACTGGGAAATTTGAACTGACATGGAAAGTTGAAAACTTACTTTGATTTGTTGCCTTGAGTGTACATTGACTAGTACAAGAGACTTTTCTACTGTTAGAACAGTGCAGTATGTTCATCGAAGAATGAAGATCTTCCCTTCAAGAAAATACCCAGAAGGGCAAACTCTTCTATTCATGGCTCTATCTCTACAATGTACTACACAGATGAAGTGAAACACGAAATCTCGTGTCTACAGAGAGGAAAGTGAGAACAACAAAGAGGCACAGAGATTTATAAACAGAAGATGTTTAGAACATGAAAAAAAAGAGAGCACTGCCAGTTCTGGGAAAGACACCTTATTTTTCTGAAATTACACAAATTCATTTTTAAACAAATATAATATTATACTATTTCTATTATTTGTGTAATATACTGCAAGACTGCAAGATTTAAGGAGATTTACAAATGACAGAAGGGAAAACAACAAAACAGAGTGGAGAAATAAACATGGTCTATACCTGTTTATGAGGCCAGCAGGACTTCAGTACAGCTTGGCTCCTGAAGAACACAAGCAGCTTGCTGTCCTGGTCATTCAGATGGAACGCTTGCTCCAGGATCTGCAGGACCTCGATGCGGGGTTTCACTGGAAGCGATGCATCTCCACAGAAAGGCCGCAGCCAGGAGAGAAGGTCATCAGAGGACACGAGACTCCCCCTAAGAAAATAGCCAGAGAACATGGACTACCTCCTACGCAGTACAGCCTTTCTGGGTAACATACTGATGAACACCTACTCTAAATTAATTGCTATCAGCAGGTATAAGTCTTTTGTTTTTATTGCATTATCTGCCATACTTTCAGATATAATTTATAAATCTAAAAATACTGTTTTGTAATTCAACATTTGAATATAGATAGTAATACATATTCAATTGACCAAAATTTGTAAATAACTTGGAAATTATTCTATTTATGTGAATTTATGCCTGTGAGATGTATAAAACCACATTGAGCAACAATTACATTTCCATTAAATAAAAGTAATTTAAGTTATACCTTATCTTTTTAATTTTAGTGCTTTAAATGTGGTGAACACTTTTTGGAGTACTGAACCGATATTACATAAATAATGTGATTATACTTCTACACCTATTAAAGACAAAGACTTCATATACATTAATTAAAGTCAGACAGTACTGAACAATATATATGAAGAGTATGAACAATATATTTATCCTTAAAGAAGAAAACGCACTAAAATGTTTTTAATATTTTTGTTGTAAAAACAACAGTGATGCAATAAGTTGTTTAAAATTGCAATACAGAATGCAACTGTTTTGAAAGTGTCTGAGTTATATTAAAACATTTGGAGATCTTATCAGTTCAGAAAAGAAAGTGTATATTTAACATTATATTGATAGTTGTATATGAAACCTTATGCAACTTACATGTTGTAAACATATTTAAAAAAGAACAAGTGACAATCAAAACATTGAACTATGTGATAATCAATGAATAACAAATGAGAACCGGGGCCATACATAAAACATTCAGAACTTCAAAATACATTTGTGGCTCAAACAATTTAATGAAAAGGTGACAGCTCCATGAAATATGAGAGAGCTGAATTTCTCCATCAAATATGGTTCATGTGAAGGGAAGACAGGCAAGTTCCATTTTCAAGCATAGTCTCCTCAGACTTCTCCTGCCTCCTGTCACTGCTTCACAAGGTTAAGGGTGCTCTCATAATGCAAAACTTGAACTGTGTAGGTATAGGTAACAGTTCAAGTCAAACCTCTTTAATGTACCACACTGCAGCCCTCACAGAGTTTGAGTATGTGTACACCCATGTAAAAAAATGAGAAAGAACAAGTAATAGGTTTATTCCATGCTGAAAAGAGAAGAAAGGAAACACAAGGTTCCGGCTGTGAAGCCTTCTTCGGGTGTTAGGTATGATAAAAAGGTAGCCTTATTCTAAAAGTTTCTTCAGGACACTAATCTTCATTTTTCAGCACCCTAACTGTTCAGTGAAGGAAATTCTATAAGCTGAAGAGTATTTAGTGAATAATTCACAAATTCACTTTACTTACTGGCTTACCCTGATTACTAGATAACAGGCCACAACAAATATTCTTCACAATGAAAAGTTTTACACTTAGCTCTCAAAACGTATATGTCATAGCATTCTACACCCCTGTTCTGGGCGAGTTCCAGTCCATCAGGTTTTATAAGTGTCTTCAGTCAGGGACAACAGATCCCACTGATTCTTGAAACATCAGTTTCAGAAACAGCAAAAACAGCAATTTACAGGAGACCCTGTTACTTGTCAGGATCAAGGCTGTGGACCCCACATATAATAAGATGGCATATCTTAGCCAGGATTTGTCAAGACAGCTGAGGCAACAAATGATGGTGAAGAAGAATGAAGAAAAGGAGGAAAGAGTGCTGACTGCTTTACTCTCCCAGGACATGCCAGAGGTTTCCGTGACTTCTGCCTATTAAACGATTTCTTGCTATTGCACCCAGGTAAATCATAAATACAAAACCTATGAATGCAGTTCTATTCAATGACCACATAATGAGGAAGATATAAGAACTGTAAGATGACCAGGGGAAGGGTCATTCATAACTGCTATTTTTGGAATGACCTGCTTAATATACTCAACATAGACCTGACCAAAATGGCTGCCAAGAAGACCCGCATATGGAAAAGGTCTATCCAGAAGAACAACGAGACACAGCTGAGCCTCATCAGGAACCAAAATATAAATGCCCCAGAAACAGTGAAACAGTGAACCAGCACGGAAGCCGATAAGGTGAATGCGGTTTGGAGGAGAGAGAGGAATTAGGATTGTGTTTAAAATCGGATTAAAGAATAACGGACTATTGAAAGGAGATACAGATTATGGTTTTCAGATTGTGGCTTGTGGGTGGATACTGCGCGGATTAGTGTTATTTTACGGACTTTGGAACTCGGATAGGATCAGGATTAAGAGAACGAATTATGGACTGGATCTGGAAGATATTCGTACGGAAGAAACTCCGCGGAGATAAAGAAAAGTGTGGTGTGAGTAGTTTTAGCTCATTTACATAAACTTTTCCCCCGGAAACACCATAGAACAAGAAACTAAATTTTCATAACAGTATTTAGCTTTATAAATACATTATTCTAAAGAGATTCTGAGTTTATAATTTTCTAACATTTTCTTTATACTTTGGTAGCAAAAACTATAAAATATACAATCATTAAATAGAATATCAGTACTGAATAACAGAGCTAATGAATGAAATGCAAATACTGTACTAATATGCTGACTGATTTTACAAATTATTCAAATTTGACTTTATTTTAATAAATCTGTGAACTTGAATAAGAGCATCAACAGATTATAAACAAAGATTTGAAGCTTTTTAGTTGTTTTTGCAATGAACAGTAAGTGGCTGAAAGCAACTTCATCTTACCCATTCTGGACATTAGAATGCACAGCTGTGACAATTCCCTCAAGTACTTGCAAGGGATCACACCTACTTGTCCGAGATGCTTCGCTTTCACTGCAAAAGAACATAAAAAACATAAGTGTAAAAGTAATTTTTTGTTTCCCTTATAAGATAAGATTGGAGGCTGTATAGGTCGAGAAAAAGCTGGGATTAAAATAGGTACAGTTGTGATGCATAATCTTGTAATTTCCAATAAAAATGTTTTATATGATCTTTTGTGATGCTTTTCAGAAAAAAAAACATACCGCAGATATAAAATACATCATCATTAACTAGAGTCACTACCTTTGAAGGAAAGAAACTATTGATGATAAGATGCCTTATCAAAAAGTAAAATGCTGCTTTTTGAGATGCTTTTTCAAAGGAGGTCTTATAATGTCTTCTAAGTACTGTAGTGTTTTGACCACAGAACATTCACTGGGTCAAGCAAAAAGTGTAATCTGGAAGGGAAATATTCAACAGAATGCGAGAGCTGAAATGAGAAAATTTAATTCAATATTTAAACAAGTATATTAAAACACAAGGCAACAAAAACCAGTGAAGGACAAAAACAAGACATAATTAATGGAAAGCACTTAGAGTATAGATTAAATGTCTCCTGTTCATCAAAACCTTACATAAATTCATTGTCAGGTAATTTTCTACTTCTCTAAAAGTTCCTAGAGAGTCAAGTATCTTAATATATATTTTGATACATAGTTTCTAAACATAAATGTTAAGTGTAACACAGCAGCTGATTTACTTTTACTCTCTCGTATTTCTGAGTTCTGTTTCTCATTGAGCATCTGTACTCAGTGAATCACATTACATATTCAGAGCATACTGTACCTCCAGACACTGCTGTTTTATGATATACAAGGGACAATTTTTCAAGAAGAATATAAAATAAACAGAAGCAAGGAAGAAAAGAAGTGTGAAAAACATCCAATTCCATTTTTAACAGCAAATAAACATGATGACAGAAAGATAATGGACTAAATAATATAAATCAAATAGCTTCAGCTACGAAAGAAAAAAAATGTTAAAAGTGTGTTTATATTATTTACCATATTCTTGACATTATTCTCACTAAGAACAATAGTAATAATAATAAAACAAAGTAGGAGAAACTTGGTCTACACCTGCTAAATTTAAAAATAGCAACTGCATTCCAGATGTTTTTTCCTTCTTTGTAACTACACTGAAATTGAAATATGGAGTCCCTTGACACTAAACAGAAGGTTAATGGAAAATGTCACATTTTTTACACATTCTGACCTTGTTTTTCTGAAAAAACACAGTCCTATAGGCCCATCACCAACCCCACTGCACCAAGTGCAGCTGTTAATCTCTTTTTTATTACTAGTACTGACATGTAAGTAAAAATTAGAAATTGATTCATGGGGTTTTCGAGTGTGTCTTTCACTAAATGGCTCCAGTTGGAGAGTGGGGTGAGTGCTATATTCTGGAAGTTAAAGGTTCAAATCCAGATGATCGCTCTCAAGCTAGTGCATAGTCACACCTTAGTGGAGTTGGGGAGAGTTGTTGCAAGCACACTGAAATGTCAAAAAATATCAAAAATGTGCAGAATTATGACTATGCTACTGCTTTGACTACAGTGATATTTGTAAAAAACTGTCCTTTCCTGATTAATTTAATTCTGGCATTCACTCATTACAGAGCTAACATTTTCAATATTTCTGACGATCATGCTCCACTTGATAACACACTCCATGCTGGAATGCAGCTGACTTAGATCATGGACAATATACAGGTTTTATTAAATCACCAACAGCTTTGGCCCAGAAATAAAACCAGCCAGACTTCAATCACCAAACTGATGATGATGCATCACCTGATTTGGCAGACAATTGTCAACATATTAACTGAAGCATTTGAGAAGTTGGGATTTACACTTAACATTCAGAAGGCCAATACTTTCCAGCCGGAAGCTCCCAATACACACGACCCATCACCATCACTTCAGAATTACAATGAGACTATGAAGAATGCAGAGCACTTCACATACATATTTTTTTTACAGAAATCTGATTCTGACAAAGATATCCAAAACTGCATCTGAAAGGGCAGTGTTTGGTAGACTTAAGGAAATGGGTGTTTGAGAATTTTAATACCAAAATTAAAATCCTGAAATTAAACTGATTGTGTATTTGCTGTCATCATTAAAAATCTACTTTATATTCATAAAACATGAACTACATAATGCAGAGACTTAAAAGGACTGGGGTCAGATCACTAATGCAGTTTGCAGAAGATTCTATGTATCAAGTGGGAAGACACTCACACCAACATCAGGCTGCAAACAGACAGGCACAATAACCAAAGCCTCTATGCTTATCCATCAATTGTTCCACTGACTGAAGCCTCAAGTCTTCCACAGAAGGTCTGCTACACCCACTTTAACAAAAGCTTTAACACCTTTTAAATAGAAGAACTGTTTTAAAGACATAAATTATGGCCCTTGAATGAACCAGATGGAAGGAGCATATCTGGCAAGGAGCCCAGTGCTATCAGAACAAGCAAGACTGTTTAAAAGATATAACCTGATTACACAGCAAACAAACTGATAAATATCTCTTGAGAGGACATCTTAACGTGCAAGGGACTGTGTGACTCTCATATTGGTCTTATCAGCTACTTTTTGGTTTATGAAAGACAAGGCTGGCCCTAATTCACATGAGATAGCTAATAAATGCTGGACGCAGACAAGTGTACACCATTTTCAAATTCCTAACATATTACGCGAGGAATACTTTCCATATTAGTGCAGAATGGTGCTTATACATTTTAAATAGGATGATATGGGGGGGGGGGGGGGATAATTTATCAATAAAACTAAGGAAAAAGCCAAGCTTACAGTACTCTGTAAAATATTTTAACAGTGTCTAGAAACCTACATAACTTGCAAAAATCTAAATATTTATTTATATTGATATTTATTTTTTAATCTTTTTTGCAAAATACAAACTGCCTCCTAGTTGTAGGTCAACAATGTAGACTAAACCTATTTAATAGGATTAGCATAAAAATAATTGCACTTCACCACAGATTTTTTAGTCATATAAATGTCTTATCATTCCCAATTATTCTTTTCACTGATGCAAGGTAACAAAGAGCTTCAAGGTAAGTACTGTAACAGTATGGGGTAATTAAAGTGATAATTAATCTGTGGACTTCACTTCTCTAGTATGGTAAAAAGGCATATTTTTAATCAAAGAACAGTCCCAAGAGCAGGAAAAGATAAGAGACAACACTTCAACAACAGAAAAAATGAAACAAACCTTATCACAAATCTTAATTATTCCAGGTACACTACTTGCTAAACAGTGTTATAGTCAGAAATTTCCACTCATAAATCCTACTGGACACTAGAGCGTCACACATTTGACCAATGACAAGACAGTGGAGAGACTGGAAAGTATCAGCAGAGGTTTTGACAGAATTCTTTGAGAAAATCATAACATCAATAACTAAAAATGTTTTAATCTCAATGTGCATAAAATATACCTTTACATATTTCTTGAGCTTCAATTGGCATTTACTGTAGGTAATTGCAAATATTGGTTTTCTTTATTTTAAGATACTATGTTCCTACTATATTTCCTAATGTAAAAAACATATTAGGAATTCTTCTAACATTTTTTGAAAGTTTATTTTTAGCGTTGTTTAATATCACCTGTTAAACTTTTCTCTTTCTTTTCAAATTGTGAATATTTATATACAGAGCTGGGTCATTTTAGCCTAAGCTTAATTTACGTCTTTATTGAATATGGTGAGAATTATATCTGGTTTCAAACAAGCAGATTAGCATATATGGCCATGCTTGATTCTTTCAGTCCAAGTTTATATTCTAGCAGATGAACATACATTTAGCAAAAGACATATCTTTTATCTGAGGTTTTTGTATTGTCACTTTGGTAACTTATCAACTGAAATGCTTCTTAGTTGAAGACTTTCAAATTTTTTCAATTTCCACTCTAGAAAATCCCATTTGATCATGTGTTTAGCTGTCTCTGGGCTTACCTGCAGCTAGGTAAAAGCCTCAAAAGATAACCACTGTTCTAATTTTTACAAATAATGTATAGCATACCCACATCTCTTTTCATGAATGTTCTTTTTATGAAAATGTAATACTACAAAGCATGTTAATCGTTATCCACATTTCGAATAACAAAAGCCAACTTTGAAACTATGAAGAAACTTGTGTTTTTTTGTGAAAAAAGTAAAAGTAGGGGTAACATTTTTGGAGTCTGGAACTGATTGTAATTTTTCCCCATAAGAAATAATGGAAATAAGTTTTTCTTTTTACAAATTTTTACTATTGGAATGGGTTTCTGGGAACGAATTATGTTTGTAAAAAGAAGTACGGGTGTATATATAATAATTATTAATTGCTATGTCAAAGTGTCATAACAACAAGCTTTACAGCAACAAAATGTAAAATCAGTGCAAAGGTCTGGATACTTTTGCAATGCACTATATATTTGTGACAATAAAATAAAGTTCTCATCACTGTCAAACCATCTGAAAGCTTATAGTGTCATAAGCAGTCCTAGTTTTATATCAATATTAATGGTTTCTTGGCATAAGGTATCTTTAATTTAAATTTGCAACTTAAGTGAATGCCTCACTGACTACTTTATTTTCCAAAACTATTATGCACTATTTTTAACAATCTAGAGAAGTCAATTGGTATGCAACCTGTATCACCACTCTGCTCACATACTGTGAGCACAGATACGCAGACAAACAATATTGTCTGAGACAGGCACTATCAAGTTGGCTGCATCTATTCACACCAAGAATGAATGGAAACAGCAAAGCTTGAATGGCAATTGGAAAAGCCATGACATTAACACTGCCCTGTGCTCAGGTGCAAATGTAATTGATGAGAGTATACTTCCCTACATCTAACCTTAAACTGGTGAGCCTTGAGGTTTTTCAGAACTACCACTGGAGTTTCTACACTACAGTGCCGAAACCAGTGATCAGAACACATATTCAGAACAATGAGCCTATAAAGCTAAGAGTTTCTATCAGTTTAAAGCGACTGAACAATAAGGATTGCATAAGGATGGTGTTATGTTGTGAATTTAACTAAAGCTGGATTTTCTTCACTTTACTACATCACAAAGAGTCCCTATTAGCAACAGAAGAAGAATAAGGGTAATGGTTTAAGTAGGTTGTCAGGTCCTCCAGAAGGAAAGTCTTACAGCTGAAACAATGACCATTTCATTTTTAAGGTAACATACAATAATGATGTAGTAAAAGTGGATGGCACTACAGATAATTCAGTTAGTCTTTTATCACATTAAGGCTTAAATCTATTTATGTCTTTTCTGAAACAAGAGTTTTACTCTTAATTTAATTCCAAAAGATTAACTGTGCATATTAGAAGGCTGGAACTTAATTCCATAAAATCAACAATTTAATCTAACTTACATCAAAGGAAAATGAACAGAGTTTGATGTTCAGATTTCAATGTGAGTTTGAAGATATTTAGGAAAGAATAGGATCTCTTAAAACTAGTAGTGTCCAAGCCCAATTTGAAATAGTGAAGTTAATTTAACAATCACTTAAAACAATAAGTCAATATTCCTGCAGTTTCCAAAAGTGCATCTTCTAATAATTCCTTGATGCATCAGGGGTTGCTAGTACAGAAACCAAACTTTAATAAACTTCAAGACATTTTGACAGTATCTGTAAATAAGTAAATTGTGCTTAGAATCACAGGAAATTGATACATTTTAACAAGCTATGTGCAAATCACTGTGGACCATGTGTGGTTTCAAAGCAATAACAATCCATATATATTTATATCTTCATATACTACTGTTTTTCAGATGGCTCTCTACCTGTGGTTGACTGAGAACAGGCTCTGTCTGCTTTCTCCACATTTTATCTCGCTTTAGCACACTTCTACAAAAAAATAGATACATGCTAGCTCTTCGTGAACCTTATTTTAAATAAAACATTAAATATTTGCTACAGTTGGGATACAATTCATATATTTGAAAATTATATGGCTACTGTTTTGTATGGAATTTTTAATGAATTTTATAGAATTCTGTGCCAAAAGCAGTTCTTATTAATTAAACTTTTTTTTCCATGAACCATTATGCTATGTTTCTTGTTTCAGCTTTGCCCGATATATCCACATTTAAAATGAAAGATCACTGCACAATAAGCCATTTTAAAACTCTAGCAAGGTAACACTCAGTCTCAAACATAACCTTTTGGGCCTGAATTAACTTATTTGTAAGATAAGATAAGATCACTTTATTAGCCCTCTACAATTTCTTGCTTTCCATGAGACACACAGACACACAGATAGGGAGAGAGAAGCCTGGTGTCAGAACGCATGGTAAGCCATTGTACAGCACCCCTCGAGCACTTATTTGTAGATCCCAACTTAAGCTCTTTCCAAATGAGAAACATATCATGGCACTAAAACTGTCATGAAACAGATGCAGTACTGTTCTATTCACAACATCTAACAATTAATTTAGGAATAGATAAACAGAAGTGAAAATATGGATGTGCTCCTCATACTATAAGAAAGGCAGTCTGTATTTTAAATAATGCAATGTCTGTTTTTTAAAAATAAACAATGTAGATAAACACAATGACAGGGAAATTAACATTTAAAAGGCAACAAATAACAAGCAAATGTGTTGCAGATAATGCAATGTGATATAAGTCAGTGATTTGTTTGAGGTTGAGGCTGGCTTTTGTGGAGCCATCCTTAAGTAGTTTACTTCATATTTAACTAATCGTTTTCATTATGTTCAAATATCTAATAATTGTACTTCTTCGTCAATGTCACCAGTTCATTTGGGGTACCACAGGGATCAGTGCAGGGATCAATATTGTTCTCTCTCTACATGCTGCTGCTAGGTAGGATAATACAAAAACATAATATTAACTTTCATTCATATGCTGATGACACTCAAATATACATTTCGATTACACCTAACGACAACTCATCTATTATCACTTTAGATAATTGCATTAATGAAGTAAAGACTTGAATGTGTGAAAACGTTTTGTTACTCAACTCTGATAAAACAGAGGTTCAGTTGTTTGGAGGCAACAATAATGATAGGACTACTATAACTTCTGCACTTGACTCAGAGGATTTAAAAATCTGCCTCAGAGATTCACCATGTAACCTAGGCGCCATATTAGACACACAGATCTGCATGGAGTACTGACATACAGAAGACATGATGGATGAATTAATACCCTCATACATTTATTTCTTTTTTTAATTTATAATGTTAGCATGCTCAAATGGGTTGGGCAGCCAGTTAACCTTGGACTCCTAGAAGATTTTTTTTTCCTTACTAAGGAGTTTTTGGTTCCTGTCCTCTGTTGTCTTCTGGTCTTTTCTGTTTTGTATTCACAACATGTATGGTCACTTGCATTGTTAAAAGCCTTGGGGGACCTCATTGTGAAAAGCGCTATATAAAAATAAATTTAATTGAATTGAATTTGTCCGTACATTCACAAGGAAATGCAATCTTGCTGCACACATACCTTAGAGCTGCAACTGTTCTTTGGACTGCATCCTGCACCACGGACTTGGGAGAGATATCCACGGGTCCAGCAGTAGCTTCTAGCAGCTGCTGGATATAGTTAAGTGGTTGTCCATCTGTTGACATAGTTACAGCCAACTCGTGAACCTTTTCCCTTTCAGACCTGGACAGGTCATAAAGACGGCTGTACTTCTTCAGCAGTTCCTGGACATGAATGAGAAATATAATTAATTGATTTCTTTCATTATTTGATCTTTTATTTTGAGCTACATACATAAATTCAAAACAAAGGAACAGATTTTCTTCCACTTAGCCCTTCACTTAACAATAACTCTTGGGCTTTCATGATCAAGAAACTGGTGGTTTTGAAATACCACATTATTGCAGTGCAGAACTGAAGAAAAGTAAGATCAACTGAATCACAGGTTCCATGACTGTCTTTACTTTTTTTTTTAAACAAGCACTCTGCAGTTGGCACTACATTGATACATATTGTACTTTGTAGCTTAAGGTCAGAATATTGGATTTTACAGCACTCAAGAAAATGATTATATTTATCAGAAGAAAGATCTATATTTCATTTATTTCTGTGTATTTTTCTCAGTATAGAGAAAAATCATACTATAATATAAGTATTGTTTTAGGACAATTAAAGTTTCAAAACTTGTACTTGAAGTATATTGTAAAATGCTTAATAAATCTTAACAATTATGCCATAGAAAAAAAAAGTAGTAAAAGTGGTATTTTTTCCAAATTTTGCTGTGACAATACAAAGGTATTGTATAAATCTTTTAATATAATATTAAATACTTAGTACAATATTTACAGGTTAGGTTATTTTCTGGGAGGCACTTTTAAATGTTTTATAGTGTCCTCCAAAAGCAGTGGGTCAGTGAATTCTAAGCTGGAATTTTCACTATGAACTCTAATAATAATCACTCCCCATTAAAAAAAAAGATAAATATGTCTTCTATTTTAAAGAAATTCAGTACAATCCTACAAAGTTAACTAAAAATGTTGAACCTCTATTTTTAAAGACGAGAAAAAATATTTGGATATGACACTTGTTCAGGATCAATTCAATAATGTGTTTAGTAATGTGTGATTAGGCACTAATAAAAGAGCTGGGAAGCATCCCATCAACTTGTTTCACTTTAAGTTCAGTATTTGTAGTTGAATGTCAAAATGAACCCCAAAGGCAATTCTGTTGAACAGGACCAAGGCATTTCAAAGATTAAAGAAAAATAAAAAAAAATGATACATAACACAACAAAAGTGGTTTGTGTGCTGGTTAAAACGTTTTATGGCCTAAATTTGTTTGTTTGTATCCATTGTGAATATTTGGAACCTTTTAAATTGTCAAATTATAGATATTTTTAACAATTACTTGTTTCATACTTTTTTTCATGGAAAATGAGTGGCATATATTCACAGAACAATGATTCAGCATGCACTTTTTTCATAATTGAAAAGGAAAATTATACTAAGCATGTGGCTCGTTTTTTAGTAGTAAATCAAATATATTTGGGAGTCAAACGCCAGTCAGTGTCCACTTTACATTCTTTACAGAAAAATGTTGCCCACCAGTGCAGAAAATACATACTTATGTTGAGCTTAAACAATTTGAACCATTGAACACAAGAACTTGGAATTACTGGGTTAAATAAATAATGTTTTTGTTTTAAATATTGCTTTAAATAATACATGAATATCCAAGTAATTAAGCCTCAAATTACATTTGCTCTTCCTAAAATGTTTGAAGTAGGTAAAGTAGTTACTTTGAAGTAACCCCAATTCAGCAAATGAGAAAATAAAATAAAAAAAAATATTACTGTTTTTCTAGTAATGTGAATAAGTCTGTTGTCACTTGATTATAGTAATGAGCATATTTTTTTAATTGCCTGTATATTTAGAAAAGTTGTGCTTGTGCTAGAGGTCATGAGGTCACATGCTGTGATACATTTTGTCCTGTCAGAATTACCAAGTTTGTTTTGCCTCTAGTTTATCAAAAACATTTTCAAAAACATAATGAATTATCCAGGCAACTGACCAATAAAGGTATTATATTAAAAGGTTTATTCCAATCCTTGTGAATTAAGTAGGATGATGGCTTAAGTTGAATTTAAATTAAGGTTCCCAACTGTAACAAAGCCTACAGTATACGTTCATACAGCATGTTGCTGAAACACAAGAACCTGCGGCCCGATAACCCACACACAAGCAGAACACACAACATCTAAGAAGAAGCATCATTTCTCATTACCTGGTTACTGTTCTTCAGGGAGAGAATGAAACTGTGACTGAGTGTTTCCAGATGAGCTAGAGATTGCTGGAGGTGATTCAGTGCCTCATCAAAGCCAACTGGGGAATTCTCAGCAAGGTGGCTGCTCTCATCCGCATGTTTTTTCTTTAGTTTCTCACTTATTTGTTTGACTGCTTTCAAGGCTCTCTTAGTTACTTCCACCCTGGCTGCAACAGTCAGCTAAATAAAAATGAAAAAGGAATAGATCAAATTAGGTGAGCAATAAACTGCACCAAATTTCATATATTGTTCAAAGTAAAAACAGAGTGGGTTCACAATTGTTTCACAAGTGGGAAAAGAAAACAATTTTAGCACTGCATTTTATTTTATTTTATTAAATGTATATGTATACAAAACTGCACTGTGCTCCTGACATTAGTATTGTCATCATGTAAAAATGTGTGCAGCATAACAAAGTCTCAAACTATACTCCACTCTACGATAGCAGAATTTATTGAACAACCATTAATACATTTGCAAGCAGTAATAAAGATCTAAAATAAAATATTGCATGATGAAAGGGAACATGCCTGTGTTTAAACTGTGTGGACATTTGTAAATATGCAGACATACTGATAAGCACTGTTGCTTAATATTATAATTTATTTGATCTTGATTAGAGTTCGATTAAAACATCTTAACTCTGTTTTCTGGTAAATATGATTAACGCACTAACACAGTGGTCTGAAATAAGATCACTGTTTTTTCTATTTACAGTACATCAATGATCTATATTCTGGTATGGTTACTAAACTAGTCAAGATTGCAATACAGACAAGATTTAAGACTGGGCAAACACCTGGCAAAATGGTAGAGCAAGCAAATAGTAAAAACAATTGTCACCAGTTAAACAGTTAAGAAAACAGAGAATATGGAGCAAGATATTAAAATTATTACAGTAGATATTTATAACCCACTTGTCAAAAATACCAGAGTGGTTTGTATAATCTTGAGGCACCTTTATTCTCTGACAGCT